CTTATCACTCCAGTGGAAACTGATCTATCAAGCAGCTGTCCCTGGACTGTGGTGAAATAGAGCAGGGAATAGGAAAAGCAGTTGTACCATTCAGGGCTGCCCTGAATCCCTTCCCTGAAACAGCCTCCGCATCAGGCAATGCCTTCAGGACTCTGCCTCCAGCACTGGGACTCCATCTCCCTTTGCTACAGGATTTACGTCCTCAGGGATCCTTAGGTCAGGGATCTGCTGCTGATTTTGCAAGGAAGGTCTAAGACAGAATCATGTTGGAAGGGACCTCTGGAAATCATCCAGTCCAACCCCCCTAACAAAGCAGGTTCACCCAGAGCAGGTTGCACAGGATCACATCCAGGTGGGTTTGAACACCTCCAGAGGTGGAGACTCCACACCCTCTCTGGGCAGCCTGTCCCAGGGCTCCAGCACCCTCACAGGAAAGAACTTTTTCCTTAGGTTTCTCTGGAACTTCTGGTGTTCCAGTTTGTGCCCATTGCCCCTTGTCCTGTCACTGGGCACCATGAAAAGAGCCCGGCCCCATCCCTTTGGCCCCTGCACTTCAGGTATTTATAGACATTGATCAGATCCCCTCTCAGGCTGCTCTTCTCCAGGCTGAAGAGTCCCAGATGGACCCTGATGGACATCAGTGTGATGACCCTGGTGCAAAGCTGGGATGGGGTGGGATGTGGTGGGATGGGCCAGGATGGGGTGGGATGAGATGCAGCCCCTGCACTCACTGCCGTTGAAGCCCAGTGATCTCCTGCACCACACCGAGCCCCCTAAGGAGGTGTCAGGGCTCATTCCCAGACAGAGAACCAGCTCACACAGCAGGTTTTGAGGAGCACATGGCCCCAGCTGGGAGGAAACAACTTACTTTTCTCTTGGTTCTTTCTGTGTGGGAGTAGAGCCACCAGAAACACAACAGCTCGTGGAAATATCATGGAAATGCTGTATTGTGTTACAAACATAATAACTTTCTTGCTTAAAAAAAATTGTTATCAGGTGGAAAAGAAAATCCATTCAGTTTACAGGCCTACTACAGCAGGACAACATTTGAGTATTCAGTCAGTCTTAAATGGCAACCTCATACGAGGCTTAAGGAAGTATTTTCATGAAAATCCACCCAGGACAAGAAATATTCTCATCTCATAAACACCAACCTCAGCAAACAGTTATGTTTACATTTCTTACCCTAATAACATTTTAAAATAATACTTTAAAATATCTGAAAGATAAAAAAGGCTGGGTCAGAATGACTAATCACAATTTGTCTGGTCAATCAGCAGCACTTGGATACAAGCAGCTTTGTCACAGAGGTTTCATTAAACCCACCCAAAGTGGTAGGAGGAGATTCTCACATCCAAACAGCTCCCAACATCATTTCACTTCTGTACTTCAAATGTACTTCAGGAGTGCGATTTACACCTGTAGCACGCTGGACCACAGACAGAACAACCCTAACACTCCTGAGTACTTCTCTTACTACTCAGCTGAGAGGGTTTTGGGTTTTTCTTCTTTGCTTGGGTCTCACACTTGAAAACTGACCCCTTCAGTCTGGTTCCCAGAGTATCGGCATGAAAGATCAAACCCGGGAGGTTTGGTGCGGCAGGAGACAAAGAGAAAAAAGGCATCTAAGTGCTATTTTGGGATGTCTGGCGGTAACAAAGAAGTTTTCTCAAGGGATTAAAGTTTTCTGAGAAAGTTTCTGCTTAAAGGCAAAAAAAAAAAAAAAAAAAAAGTAAAATGTGGAATTAGAAGATAAAGAGACAGCTCTGAGGGACAACTCCCCAGTCTCCAGTGGCAGCTTTAAACTGGTGTAACCTGGAACTCTGATCCAGAAAATTATCTTTGCTCCCATATATTTACATCCTGGACCATTATTAAACAGCCCACAAAAAGCAAAGATAAAGAGTAAATAATAACAGCCTCTGAGCTGTGGTTACCCTCACCCTTGCCAGGAGCCTCTGTGCTCTCCACCATCCTCTGCGGCAGGATCTGGGGTACAGCCCTGGCTTTGGCTGCTGCTGGGTGCGCCAGGCTGCCCTTCGAGGCAAAAGTAACTATTATAAGGAACGAAAAAGGGAAAATAAAAAGAAGGGGGAACATGAGCACAGGTTTTTTGAGAGCTCCTGAACACAGAGAATAGGTCCACGAAAACGATCCAAGGGCTGGAACACCTCTCCTGTGGACAGAGGCTGAGGGTTGGGGCTGTTCAGCCTGGAGAAGAGAAGGGTCCAGGGAGGACTTTCAACACTTGAAGGGCACATGTAAAAAAGACAGAAAGAGACTTTTTTTACCAGGATCTGAAGCGACAGGACAAGGGGGAGATTTTAAACTAGAAGAGAGTAGATTTAGATTAGATATAAGGAAGAAATTCTTTACTACAAGGGTGGTGAGACAGTGTCCCAGGTTGTCCAGAGAAGCTGTGGCTGCTCCTCCCTGGAAGTGTTCTCGGCCAGGTTGGATGAGGCTTTGAGCAACCTGGTCTAGTGGAAGGTGTCCCTGCTGATGGCAGGGGGGGTGGAACAGATCTTTGAAGGTCCCTTCCCACCCAAACCATTCTGTGATTCTGTGATCCTTTCCCAATGCTCCCCCTCGTGGGAAAACACTTCCAAAACATTTCTAGCTCTGATTTCCTTCTCTTCAGAAATCATTAAGAGTTAAAAAAAATCCTTTCCTTTTGTTTTTCTCCTTTTGAAAAGGAAAAAAAATATGACAGATTGCTTCTACTTAATAGAAACAAAGTCAGTTTAGATTGAACTTTAAAATGGAAATGGAGACTTTTCTCTATGAAGTATTTCCCTCTTTTAAACTGACTGTGCAGACTTGCAGACACTGCCTTGAAGCCATTTTGGATACGCTGCAGGACAGCAAGATGTACAGAGCAATAAACAAAACCAGAAGTGTCAAGGAGCAGGACCAGCAAGGAGCAGGACCAGCCTCACAGCACGTCAGGATTTAGCAATTCAAAAGTTTGTTGTATTCTGAGTGCTGGGCTGATGATGACAAGTAACCACACAGAATAATTCGTTTATATTGGACTGAGCTGCTAATTGCATTCCCTGAAATTAAAATTTACAATGGTTTCCATCTAAGTAGTTTATTAAAAAGTAAACAGTGGGGAAGAAAAACATTGCTTTTGTTTTATATTTATGTTTTAATGGCAGGGCACAGCAAAACGTGGAACCTTTTCATAGGAAATCATCTCCACCTGCTTTTCATAGAAAAGAAATTATTTCACAGAAGTTGTTACCATTTAATGAGTCTTCCTAGCTGCAAAAAAAATCAACCAACCAAAAGAAACCAGCAGAAAACCTTGCAAAATGCAGCTTTT